AGGCACTGCTCATCACCTGTCCAATACAATCCCAACAGTGAGACATGGTGGTGGCAGCATCATGCTATGGGGGTGTTTTTCAGCTGCAGGGACAGGACGACTGGTTGCAATTGAAGGAAAGATGAATGCGGCCAAGTACAGAGATATCCTGGAAGAAAACCTCTTCCAGAGTGCTCAGGACCTCAGACTGGGCTGAAGATTCACCTTCCAACAAGACAATGACCTTAAGCACACAGCTAAAATAATGAAGGAGTGGCTTCGGAACAACTCTGTGACCATTCTTGACTGGCCCAACCAGAGCCCTGACCTAAACCCAATTGAGCATCATAATAATATTCAACAATGTACAATATTTGTAACCTTATAAATAATAACAATCAATTGCAGAAACATGCATTAACAATCATGGTGTGGTTACATCTATACAGTCTTCCAGTTATAACCTTCATGGTGAACCATGTTGCTGATGTGGCTCCGTTTTACATATACCCATTCTATTCCATACATTTGTTTGTGCTACATTTTCTATCTTTCGACTGTGTTGTCATGTCTTAGATTTACTTGAAGAATGACGGCTACAAACGCGACTGAATAAGGAGACGTGAGAGGGACAGATGATGGTGTGCAGTTTGGAGATAAAAAAATGAAGTCTGTGTCGACGAGGAACGGTGGGTGAGATGAGACGAGGAGAAGACCCTGGAGATGGGAGGCAGAACATGAAATTGTGCAACAGCAGAAGGGAAAAAATAGCAGGGGTGTCAAAATCATTTTAGTTTAGCGGCCGCATATAAACCCATTAAATGTCAAGTAGCAGTACATTCATAACACAATTACCTATAAATAACAAGTCCAGGTTTTTCCCCCTTTGTTTTCATGCAAATAAGTACAAATGTATTAGATAAATCTTCATATTTAATGAAATATAATTGTACTAAACATTTCGTGATCATGAAGTTTATTTTATTTTCAAAATCCATCAAGCCGGCTGAATTGAAACCCCAAGCGGGCAAGCAGTATTGGCCCGCTGGCCGTATGTTTGACACTCCTGGTTTATAGTAATTTTGTGGAAGGAAATAAGTAAATAATAAATAATTTATAAAAGTAATTTTAAAAGCTGTAATGGCACATGGATGTGTGAATGGTAACAAGTGATGCTGTCAGGCTAGCACTCGAAATGTCTCAGGACCAAAACTTTTTGACGCGCAGGCCACAATTCTCCTAAAATTTAACACTGGGGTCGGGTCAGGAGATAGATGGAGCATTTGCGTGAACTAAGATAAATGACATGTAAAAGTCATGCATAAAGGCTAAAATGCTTTTTTCTACGCCATCTATTGGCGAAACGTGGATATTGCAGGGAAATGAAAGAAGTATAATGATAATATAAATGATTATATCATTTGGCGGGCCGGATTAAAAAAGCTGAAAAGAAGTATAACGATAATATAAATGATTATATCATTTGGAAAGATTTGGCGGGCCGGATTAATGGGCCGCATCCGGCCCCCGGGCCTTATTTTGCCCATGCCTGATCCAGAGGCCTGGTTGGTGGAACTTCAGTTTGAGTTTCAGACTTGAGTCTTTGACTTTGTTTTCAGGTTACTTTACCTTTTGAAGATGATGTGAGATGAAGTTTTTTTTTTTCTTCTTTTGGTTAGAATTGTATTTTTTTTTTGTGTGTTTGTTTTGTTATGTAGTGAAAATTTTAATTGTAATCCCACACATTGGTAACTGTGCAGCACAAATGAAACACAACCCCTTATCTTGACTTCTCTAAATAAATATTCAGCAGTCCATTTCATTATTAAATGTGCACTCTGTGAAAATGTTCTTGTTTATGGTTTTTGGTGTGACCAAAGAAAATATGAAAATGGAAAAAAAAAAAATGGTGGCTTCAATAATAACTGACCTCACGTGGGCCACAGAGAGGCAGATATCGGGCCAGAGCTACATAAACAGCCCAGGTTTGCTTTACATGGTAGCATTAGCATTTCAAAGTAAATAATAATAATAAAGGAAAAATCCTAAGGGTTAATTTTAGTGGAACCAATTACGGACACCGTGAACATTACTGCTCACAACCTCACAACATTCTGCCCATTTTCTGTTAGTATCTCGGTGTGGAGTATTTCCGCTGTCTAGAGTGCTGTCCTCCTCAGACCAGCTCCCTGCTGCACATTTGTTCTGTTCCTCTCTCTAAGCCAAAGTACCCGCACTGAAAGAAATAATATATAAATATATATCCTCAAAGCCATATATAAAAAGGGAACGTGATTGAAGAGTCCTTTTCTTGGTTTTGGCGTGACATTAATTTACTTCACTGCACACTTCTGAGGCAATTGGCTTTGAATCTCCTTAGAATTTCTTTTTTTTTCCCCAGTCGATAGCAAGTCCAGCTACTGAAAGTTTAAGCCAGTCTTTTAAGAATGGCTGATAAATATATCAAATGAACTTACAATGTGGAAAGAAAAAAAAAAAAACAGGGATAAAGAACACATCATTTCTCTTTAGTTTTCTGAGGCCTTTAATCAGAGGCCAGTGGCAGGGGGAAATATATTTCTATCTTCCTAAAAGTTGAACAGCATAGCACTGCATCCGCTCCCGAACATCTATAGAGAGTGATTCAAATATTTTTTTACAGATAAAATCACCTTTGGACTGGCCCTGGTTTGAAACTTAAATGTAATGATCTGACTTGCAGCCATCAACGTAACCATTAAAGGGATGGTGTCCGTAAAGTATCTAAGTCATTTACTAATTAAAAAACTATAACCTTGTCACATGAGATTAATGGAACTTGCTAAATTAAAGCTGGCCTCAGCAGTAACTCTGATGGTGCTGCCATTTAATTTTGTTTTCTGATTTAAAAATGTGTTTCCTGGTTGTGTCTTGGTTATGCCAGTGCAGGGTTCCAAAACAACGAACTGGAGGTTATTAACAGATTTGGAATTTTTACAATCCACTGTGATCTTTTTTTTTTTTTTTTTTTAATAAAGCAAAGTAGATTAAAAAAACATTGTATTTAGTGATAAGTGAATTTTTTTTAAATATCTTTTTGTGTAAACTTTGCATGACTTCCCTGTGTGAGGGTTGTCTCCCAGTTTCCTTCCATAATCCAGCTGGCCAATGGGGTGTTGGAGTAATAGCACTAAATTGTGTAAGTGTGAATATGAGTGTGTATGGTTGTATCTTAATGTGCCCCTGGGATGGACTGGGAACATGTAGTACTGCGCCCAAAATCTGGATTGTCCTTGTTTCAATTTGTGAGTACTTTCTTTCATTTACTAGCGCCATAACTATTTTATAATCACATCATTACAACACTCAATGGAGAAAAGTTTAAAAGAAAGTGCAAAGATCTTTCAGTTAATATATTAATAAACTCCTTTTACTGAATCATAACACGCATTTTCTCTTATTTCCTCCTATTATTTAGTGTCCCGTTAGCGATGCTCAGAGTTAGTTAGAATTTCCCAGAGTCTGATCACAAGTCAACAACTGGCCTAATAATGATTGGATATTTTTTTATGGTTTTTTTGCTCCAGGGTTTTGCTTCTGTTGCTGCTGTTGTTGCTAAGCAACCATGGCCTGTGTGCTAAAGTGACAAAGTTGTGGCGGGTCAGCCCCCCCCCCTGAAGGCACTTCCCCTAGGAAAAATAAATAAAACCAAGAAAAGAAATTGATTTCCAACACAGCAAATCTCTCTTGCCACCTTCGGTGCTCTCCTATGTGTATCTTATACTTTCTATAGGTTCAATGTTTACATCTATGCGAATGAAGGAGTCTAAATACAAAAAAGAAAATTGTATTTTATATACTGGGATATGCAGAAATATAAATTAACAGAAGAAACACTTGCTTTTTTTCATTAAAATATTTTGAAATGTGCAGAAAATAGGTTTAAATGTTGAATAATTTAACTAAAGTCAGAGACTGTTGAATTTAATTTAATTTTTAATTTCAGAATACAATGTACAAAGAGTTTAAAGATTAAAACTAATAAAACAAGTTTTGAAAAAGAGACTGTTTCATTTGATTGAATCTTATACGATAAAATACACAAAAAAGGATAAAAATAGGCTCAAAGGTCAATTGTTTCATAGAGTATTTAGGTTGTGCATGTTTTTGAAATGTAACAAAGTAAAGTAATTATTAAAGTAACTAATTACTCTGGGAAATAAGTAATCAGTAACTGGAGCACTTTCTTGGAGAAGTAATCAGTAATCAATAAATAATTACTATTTCCAAGTAACTAGACCAACACTGGTCACTACTGTGTTTGCAGGGGTGAATGACATCGATGCCATGTACAATGTGTGAGTTTCGACTTAGGACTTAAAAATCGAGTCACGTCACGCTGTAGAAGGTCAGTACCACATAAGTCGAGGAACTCCTGATAATATGTGCAAAATGATATCACATATAATTCCAAAACTATTTTAGCCGAGAGAGCAGTGTTTTCTGTGGTTATATATATATTATATAAGTCAACTGTCATATCAATGAATTAAATGTAAATAAATAAAACAAACAGCAGAATGTACTGTATCTATCTATCTATCTGTCTATCTGTCTGTCTGTCTGTCTGTCTCTCTGTCTCTGTCTCTGTCTGTCCATCCATCCATCCATCCATCCATCCATCCATCTATCTATCTAACCAAACATCTTCTTCTAATGCCGAAGACTTGTTTTCACCGTCTGTCTGTCTGTCTGCTTGTCTGATTTTTTTTTTTCCAAACTGACTCAGGATCACGTTGTATATACCTTGGCTGGTAGTTGGTATTTTGGTCGAGTCATCCATTTATTGATAGTTTCTCTCTCAGACCACTTCAGTTCAGTTGCCTTACTCTTGAACCTCTAGGGCTAAATTACCTCAGCGACTGAGAGCCTTTACAGACAGGATTAAATACCTTTGCGAGTCTTAACCGTACGTGCTTGCAAACAAACAGACCGATGGACCCTTCGATGGGATCACCCTCCACATAAATAAGATACACACACGATTTTAAAACATTTATTGCAGTCACTGAATAGCTGCAGAGTATTAACAGGGGTTAACTGTTCCAGTATCTTTGATGTTAAACACCCTCACAACTGGGAAACGTACCGCGAAAAAAGTCACTCCATCTCACTTAACATTTTTTTTTATACTGTGGTATAAACATGAAGAAAGTGTTTTACAGAATAAAAACGTTACTGTGATGCACAAATTAAACTTTTTTTACTCCAACAAATAGAAATGACACAAAAAATGACCAAGTTAGATTTCAAAGCTATATTTTCTGGCATGCTTTTCCGTTGTCTAAAATTGCCTTCCATGCTGTGAGATAGAACATTTGTACTCAGGCAGTGAAATGACAGATGAGTTTTTCAAGGTTGATCTGTCTGCACATGCCTTTTTATTTATTTTTTCCTCAATTCAAATCGATTATTTCAACTCCAAATCAGGCGATTGCACGTTTTTATAAGGCATTTAATTATCAGACAGAATATCCTTTTAATCCCACCTGTTGTCTCCAGGTGAACTAGAACGATCCAGTTTCTGAAGAAGTCGTATGAAGGCACCGTGAACGAACCGCTTTCCTAAACCAGTGTGTGATGGAGAAGTAGAATCTATGTGGAAATAATATGTACAAACGTCAACCATCGGAGCTGGCGGACCTGGAATCGAAACGCCAATAAAATCTATACATTAATAAGATCAACATTAGATAAAACATTTAGCCATTTACAAATATATTGCTATGTAATTGTACCGGACACTTTCAAAAAACCAGTGTACAGAGCAGAGCTTTCAGAGCTTTTCCTATTTATAATGCACATAACGAGTACTGACATCTTTGATACAAAATGCTTTTTTTTTTTTTTTTTGTTTTTTGCTTTTTTTTTTTAAGAGATCATTCTGTGGTTTTGCAGTGCTTGAAGTTAAAGTAAAAATGAAATGTGGCCCACACTCATTATAGTACAGAATGGGAAAAAATTAGTTGGGGAAATCAACTGAGGTTTTGGCAAAAATATTTGTTTAGTTGTCTTTGTTGTTGAGTACTGTCCAATGGTAGTCATCAGGAAAACAACGCCGAGTACTGTTCTGCTCTGTGGTTATTACAGATACATGATAGTGATTATTACATCTTATTTACAAACACACAGACGATGACGGAATAAACGAGTGTCTACTAGCAGTGTCATTAGAACAATTCTATTTTCTTTGATTGTGTTGAATAATATAGTTCGGAACAACTCAATTACAACCACACCACACATATTTGTATATATTGGTCAGCCACAGTCTTTTTTTTTTCTTGCATTTTGTCTTCTTTTTGTCAATTTTTACTTGTTTTCCCTCCCATTTCTTGGACAAAATTAAGAAAGGAAAAAAAAAAACAAAACAGAAATGCTGCTGAAGGATATTCATGATAGTTCAAAAAGAGTGGATTGTTAAAGAGCCGTAGTACGGTTGAAGGCAGCAGAAGCACCGTGGTCTGGGGGCCCACGTGTGTGTGGCCTTTGCACTGCAGAAGCAACAACTTCAGGGGGGAGGAAAAGATTCAGTAAGAAAAAAGTGTGAAAAGAGAAGAGGTGCTCAGGTGAGAACTTTTTGTCTCTTTGAGGAGCCCAGATGAAAGGACGTCTGGCAGCACGGGCGCGAACTCCATCTTATATCTGCTGATCTTTCGGGCTGTCTGGGCAGGAGCCTGACTGGCAGGACTTTAGACTAACCAGGGGAATGTCGGCCATTCCAGAGTTGGTGAAGTGTCCTTCTCCGCTCCCGAACTGCTTCCTGTCGCCGTAACTCTCAGATCGTCCACCCTCTTTTTTCCACCCTCTGGTTAGAGTATGGCCATTGATAAGTTTCTCCTTTGGTCCCCACTCCCTCTGGGATTCAAAGCTGGACATGTGTGTCTTGGGTTGCGAGTATGTTCCTAACGTTGGAGGCATCCAGCAGTTGTCCGAATGTCCCAGGACCAGACACTCCTGCGTGCACATCTCTGTAGCTTCTACCAGTCCCCGAGGTCCCAGGGGACCATCTAAGGAAGGAAGAGAGACAAAAAAAAAACAAACAAGTAAATAAAATATATATATATATACAGTTAAATATTTAATCTATATTCCTCACAGATATCCCCAAAAAATAACATCTTAAAGGACGTTTGATCTCAGAGAACATAAAAATTCCGACAAAATATTGGAAGAAAAATCGAAGCCCTGACCCTGGCTAAAACAAGGCTATCCTCTCACTAACATTAGTCCGCATGACTGAGAGAAAAGTCAATCAGAATAAAAAAAAAGCTACGAGGGAGTATCAGGATTAACAAACAGGAGTCAGTTTCTGAGGACTGACCTTCATTTATGGAAACCCTGACTTTTCTTGTGTTTTTTTTTTTTTTCTCTTTAGTCCTGTTTACTATTCTGAACTCCCTGGATCCCATCAAACGATCTTTCGCTCCAACTTTCTCTTTTCTCGACAACGCTTACATTTTCAGGGTCAGGAGGAGAAACATATTAAACATGACGGATGAATGGGTGTATATATATATATATATATATATACACACACACACACACACATACATACATATATACTTCATGTATATATGCACATATATTGTAGATAGATAGATAGACAGTGTGATTCCATTAAACCTCCTTCACACTGTTCAATTTCCAGATGGTGCTTTAAGTAAAAGGAAAAATCAATATTAAATTTCAGCCTTAAAAAAATAATGTCCAAGCACAGTTACGTACATATAAATTCTGTATCTGAACCTATACTATATGTTAGGTTGTGACTTGCGTTGCTCTGCATTTATATGTCATATAACTACAAATATAACACATATACATACAGTTGAATGTCATATAACTATAAATATAACACATATACATACAGTTGAAATGAAAGCTGTTTTTTGATTGTTGATTTGTTTCTATGACTTTCCTTTGCACAATCAAACATCAAACAACTATTATCTCCCTGTTTTAATGTGTGTGTATTGTTAGTTAAAGGTCATTATTAACATTAATTAATCAAAGTTCCGCACTGTCGCAGTAACATTTACTGTAATGAATGGGGGAAAGTGCATTTTCAAATTCACAAAGTCGAGACATTTGATTCCAGCCTGGCCTGATTTCATACGGGAAGACATTCATGGATTCTTTTGGGTGACTGTAGAGAGCATTTCTGTAGCAGGCAGTCTTGACTGGCGTATGTGCATTGTGACAAGACACACGCATTACTGTAGATGCATGTAGAACAATGAATATGGTTCGTAGGAGACAGTCAGATTAATTCCTGAAACGGAAATACAGACACGTGAGGAGACATGTGCTGTTAGGGAGGAGGAAGAGGAAGAAAAGGAGGAAGACTACAAGTACATAGACTGTGAGCAGATTCATGCAAAACAACTGCCCCCAGATCTGCCAGGCATGTGACATCCGAGTGCCGGGCAAATGATTGCGGGCCAATCAGCTGAAGTGTTGAATGAGGGATTGACCAGACTGAGGAAATCAGATCAGTCTCTCCGTTATCATGTATATTTGTATCCTCTGCTGATTCTTTTGAAAAGTGTGCAGTGACTACAGCTCATTAGAAGTGTTACTACTGACATTACAGTGTCAGTGAAGGTGACACATTATAACAGTAAAAGGGAAAAAAAATGTTGAAGAAAGAACGTGTTGATGTAACACATGAGCCGCTGGTTGAGAGACAATTTTTTGACATGTCCCGTCCCGCATTTGTTTTAACATTTGGTGAAACATGAGAGTAAGAGGCAGACTCAAGTCCTCAGCATCATATCTACATGCAGATTGGTAGACCTGCTCCCATTCCCGTGCTTAAAGAGGACATATTATGCAAAATTGATGTTTCCGCACATATCTGCATCTCTGCAGTGTCTGCCCATTCTTCCAAAGACAATTTTGACAAATTCTGCAAAAATATCTTTATCAGAGTAGCTGCTCTGAATTTGCCTATGTGAGACAACGAAAAGGAAGTGATTTACAATAATCGTGGCCCCACTCTGGGTTGCTCCTCCTACAGTTACGTAAGTCATTTCGATCATTGTCAATCACACGTAAAAAAACAAAAGCCTAACAAACACATAACCAACCAACTGCATATACAGATGTATATAGATGTGTTCTACACATCTGCTAAAATCATAGATCATTGTATCAAGATCTGACCAGAGTAATAAAACATCTGGCCTAAGCAACGCTGTTAAGGTATTATTGGCTGGTTAATATTTAAAGGTAAAGGTGCAGAAACCAACTGGAACCAAAAATTGTCAAATTCACCTGTGGTCAGTTCTTATTTTTTTTACCAAAGCAAGTAGCTAACATTTGATTTAGACATCAAGGAACCATATCAATTTGCATAAACGTGATATGCAAAGTACTGTATGTCTGCTTCAAGAAACTGCTGTCATTGTGGTAACACTTCGTAGGTGTGAAACAAGGATGAGTAAGAAGTAAAACTGTCTCATGTGTAAACATTGTAGAAGAAAGTGAGTTTGACAGTTGAGTAGAAAGCAAAGGATGGAACAGAAACATGAAGTTTTGTTTTGTTTTGTAGGGGATTGCGAACCACGTTGAAGTTGGAGAATTTAAAAATAAATAATAAAACGGTAAAATAAATAAATAAATACATTGTACCCATATTGAATCAGAAGATATAAATTATTTTGTATCTTTATATTTCTGATCTTTCTCTTTGCTTGTTGGTTTTATGAATTTATATTTGGATTTCTGAACAATTAGCCAATAAGGGAATACATTTCTAGCATAGTTTTAGCCACATAATGGATATTTACTTTCCATTCCATAATTGTTACATTCACTATTTGTATATTAAAAAATGTATGCAGTCTTATTGACGTTCCTTTGATTTGTTTTTGTTTTTTTTGTTTTCAGTTTTGGGACAGAAGAAGAAGCACCGCTGCACATGTGAAACATCTGTTTCCCAAATTTTCCCAGAGGCTGTCGGCTCACACTACTGCGGTTGACACTTTGATTAGCAGGGGACAGATGATTAGCAGCAGCACATAACAGTGATAGATAAAGGGCTGCAGGGTATGTACTGCTTCACCTAACCTGCTACCTGACAAGCAAACTTCAAAGTATGTCTGCCTGTCAGAAAAGAAGATTGTAAATTGAAGAAATGTCAGAGTCTTGGTATTTTGCCAGTTGCTAAAAACTGTCGATGGTATCAACTCCTTATAGAAGGGGACTAGAGGGGATAAACTGACATAAAACATCCAAGCAGGAACAGTTTTCATTGCAATTAAAATTATGGAATGCTAAATAGAGTATCACTCACATTTCCTATCCTTCCTTTTTTGCAGCTCTTGTTCCATAATTTGCAGAAAATAAAGAGAACTGGGGATGTCTTATATTAAGTTTTTGCCGATATTTGATATGCTGATATTGTCCAAATGCTTAATTTCTGATTCCGATATCAAGCGATGCCGATGTAACGGGGCAGTGGTGGCCTGGTATTTAAAGAATTTAAGTGCCGCCTGCTCACTAAGGTGATAGGCTAAAGCAGTGTTTCTCTGTTGATTTATGTATCTGTAAAAACCACTGTATGAGTTGCTGACACAAGAATTCTGCATACAATTCCGAGATTATTAAAATATATTAATAAAACGAGCTACAATGCTGCCATCTAGTGAGTTTCACTTTTATATATACGCAATGGTGGGCAGTTACATTTCTCCGTTACATTTACTTGAGTAGGTTTTTCACAATAAAATAATTCTACGAGTAATTTTAAATCACTATATATTTTTTTTTACTTTTACATGAGTAGATTTATGAAGAAGAAACAGTACTCTTACTCCGCCACATATACTGAGCTCGTTACTTTTATCAGAGATACTGGATAAAGCTAGAGCCATCCATGATCCAGTATCTCTACTTTTATTTTCTCAGAGAGAAACTTCCGTCCAAGTCTCTACCGCGTGACTGTGTTTAACCAATAAAATGTAGCCCTTGCCGCGCAGTCTCGTCAGGTGACTATACTCAATCTCAGCGGCGGCACGGGGTAGTTCAGCGGCTACTGCGGCCGCCACCCCCCTTGTTTGATCCCAATCAACGGTCGGCAATGCAGACGAAGACGAGGAGGCACACTCCTGGCCTCATGTTGAAAGCATGTTCAGTTTACAAACAGTGCGGAACAGCAGTTATATCATGCGGTGTCTTTTTTGTCTCAAAAAAAAAAAAAAAAAAACCCAGGAAATTTTAGCATTCAAAAACTTAACGTTTAACCTGAGAGAATATGTTGCGGTAAGTTTGACTTAACGTGAGAGAATATGTTGCGGTAAGTTTGACCTAAAATCTTTTATATTTATTTATTGTAAGTATACATTTTTATGTTCTCTATTATTTCATTGTTTTTTTTTTATTTTTATTGAAGTACTTGAATTTACCTAAAGATTATTTTAAGTTATTTATTTATTTTATTGTTTTATTCATAGGATAAATTATTCTCTTTGTTGCGTTATCGGATCTTCATTATCGGAGGTAAAACCGATGATGATTCCTACAGGTATTATATAATTAAGCATTATTAGCTATGCTATGCTATGCTCCGCTATGCATTAAGCATTATTAGCTATGCTAAGCTATGCTCGGGACATCCCTATAAAGAACCAAACGAAGCTATGGTCGGGACATCCCTATAAAGAACCAAACGATAATTCTTAGCAACATAAAACCAACACAGTTTTGGGAGGCAGTTTATAAATCAGTTGAGGAGCAAAAAGCTCTAATGGGGATTTCAGCCCGATCCCTGGAAGCTGTAGCGACGAAGCAGTAGGGACGAAGCTAAGAACAGCTGTAGGCGAACATCCATCTCTGCCTGCAGTTTGTGACCCAGGTGTTTTCCCTGAAAAATGTTTTGTATTTTGCACTTGTTGAGAAAAAGGCTTGGTTCTTGGCATTTATTCCAGAGGCAGGTGATATGGTTACCATATATTCTGACGTTGACCTTTCGGACAGTGCTGTATGACATTACATGTATATGTAA